GTATCTCAGAGGGTTGCAGATGGCCACATAGCGGTCATAGGCCATGAGGCCCAACAGGAAGAATTCAGCTCCCACAAGGGTAAGGTAGAGGAAGTGTTGAGCTGTGCACCCCACAAAGGAAATGGTCCTTTGATCCAGCAGGTAATCAACCAGCATCTTAGGCACAATAGTGGAAATGTACATCATGTCAATTAAGGAAAGGTGGCTGAGGAGGAAGTACATGGGTGTATGAAGGCGCAAATCTGTTTGGATCAGGAAGATCATAACCCCATTGGCTATCAGTGCGGTGACGAAGATGATAGAGATGATGGCAAAAAGAAGACCTGAGGTTTCCTTTCTGTCGAACAGCCCCATGAAAGTGAAGTCCGTAGAGGATGTGTTGTGCTCTTCCATTGATCCTACAATTGTGCTGATATCAGGTAATATCTTCCGAATAAGATGACACCATTCCCAGGACAGTAAAATAACAACATTTGAATTAATTGTTAGGTAGCAAACTTTTAAAACTGGGAAGAAAACATTTCAAAAATAGTATTCTTGGCACACTGGGACTGATACCTAGCATTTAATCAATTCCAGAAGGTTTTTAAATAAAATTGGTCATTATTAATCAATAATTGCTTAAATACATTGGAGAAGATGATGTCAGCAGATGATACTATATTAAAATGACATACATAACAATGCCTCAGGGTGCATACCATGCTACACAGCAGTTAAAAATACCATGGTCTGGTGTGTGTGTGTGTGTGTATGTGTGTATGTTAGATGCATTTAAATTTGTATTATTATTTAATGTGTCTTTGTGTGGTCGGCATCACCACCATTTTAAAAACACTTTTGCTGGCTGTGAGTAGCTCATGTCTTCCATTTAGCTACAAGTATGGGTTATCTGCCGTTTGGATCACAAGTCACTGTCTACGTCGGGAGAGTATACTTGGTGTTAGTCTATCCATGTCCCAGACAAATTATAAGGGATGAAATAAAAAGGGCAACAGAAACTCAGTGGAAACTACTCTTGCAAATTTAGACATAAGAATTATTCTCAATACAAGAGGCATTCAGTGTTACTGAATTTTATTTATTTTCAATTTTAAGATGATGAGGAATTAGCATTAGAATTATGATTACCATGACTGTTAGAAGCTAGTATTGGCAATTAATATTCAGAGGAAATATCACAGGGACATAAACCTTGAGCTATAACTCGCTGATTATTTTTAGAAATTATAATTTTTCATAGTTCTTGATAATTGAGAAAAATTGAGTGTGTATTATATAATTTCACGTTACAATAAAGAAACAAATATCCACAACAAACTTCATGAAAGTAAAGGATAATTTTTCACGTGTTTTAAGGCTAAACGTGTTCCAAGACAGACATTTTACCAACATATTTGGGAGTAAAATTGATCAAACTAGTCTAATGCTCCTCTAAATATTCTAAAAGCATTAGCATTTGAGTCCATTGCCCATAAAACGAAGTTACTATTGAGAATAATGATGATGACATCGTGGAGTTTACTTTTGCCAAGTGTCAGGCTAAGAAGTGCTTTGTTTCTATTGACTCCCTGATATTCACGATAGAACTAAGAAGTGAGGAGCTGTAAAAGCCCCGTTCACCAGCGACAGCATCGAGGGTGATGTGTTGTGGTCACAGGGTCTGTTCGTGCGCGAAGTGTCTGGACTAGAGAGTCTCGATTCATTATATGTTCATACACATCCATTGTGTATATGGGAGGCTTTGTATGGGAACAGCAGCTGGACAGTTCCTGTAATTAGCAAATAAAATGTACCAACCATGGGAACCTGCTAAATTGTTAACACTGTGTGATGATTAATGTGACTACTGAAAATCAGTCATACTTGAGAGTAGATCCATAAATTATTAGAATCAGGATTGCTGTTTTATGGGTGTAAACTATGTGCACAGATATACACACATATATAAAAATGTACACA